AAATTTCTAGGTTAGGTTAGGTTATACCGACGATCCAAAGGTTGGATCTATTGGCCTATTAGGTGCAATTAAAAGGAAAAATCAGAGATTTAAAATTTACACATAATAAGAATTAGGAATTTGTAATAGTAATGTAATGACCTTATGGACGCAATTTCCTTATTCTATATATATACACTAGATTTCAAAAAAATTTGACTGGAAGAATAATTTGATCTGCTGTATAAGATTTTCATATAAATGAAAAATTGCTTACTTTTTGAAATATAAAAAGAAAAAGAAAAACATGGATTTGATCTTGCCAAAAGTTTATGAGAATGGTCTATATGGTAGTATATACCATTTTCATTTACTTAACTATATCATTTATAATACTACATATCGGGTGCTATTTTAGCTGCAAAAGAACTAAAAATGATAATACAAGACAGAAATATTGTTGAAATAAGATTTTATTTTTTACAATCTGGTAGCTAATTTAGTAACATTTATTTTTTTGAATATGATTTCCGGCATATATCCGCTGCGTATATCAGATACTTTTATTTCACATTTCTAAAAGCAAAAAGTTTTCAAAACCCATCACATTTACTGTTACTAAAAAAATAAGAAAATATAGGTGGACCTAGGCAACAAAAGAAGCAATTATTGACAAATGTAGTTACGTCTATTGCTATATATGCGGCATTCATAGGACAGATGCAATGCATACAAAGACATACAGATTAGTAGTAGACGCAGCCTACAGGAGCTGTCCGTTCAGTCATGATTATTGCTGAAGTGATGCCGCTGCAGCAGAAAGTGCTGGGCTCACGAACTACAGCCAGCTTAATGAAGAAGCATTAACTAAGTGGCAACAAAGTTGGGACACATCCACGAAAAAAAGATGAACACATAAGCTTATACCGAAAATAATTGATTGGACCAAAAGAAGGTACCGATAGCTGAATTACTACGTAACTCAGCTGTTAACCGAACACGTTGTTTCAGAGCTTATTTTTTTAAATTTAAACATGACGAAGGCGACACGTGCATATCCAGATACAAAAGTAACCGTGGAACATATGTTTCACGGTTTGATTGTAAGAGTTACGATAACCATCGCAGCTCTGTGGCAAGAGCAACCAGAGAACAGATCGGACCTGATAATATAATACACCTGATGTTGAAGTTAACAGAAAACTGAAATCTGGTATGTGTATTTGCGAAATAAATCATAAAAAGACAGAGAGCATCAGAGTGAGCTAGATCTGCAGAACTAGTTGGCACCAATTGCTGAATCACCACCCTTCGAAGGGTGTACGGTGTTAGGATGGGGTTTAGTACGTAGACGCATATCTAAAGAGTAAGTAAGTCTTGGTTGCGAATCGTGCATACTGGTAGCACAGGCTATCAGTATTTTTTGAAGATTACACATCGTAAGCTCATATAGTTTGAAATAAAAAAAAAAAGTGTCATTAAGAAATAAAAATAACTAATGTCAAAAAAAATTTTTTTTCAACAAAAAAATTTAATTCTGAACTATTTGACTTTTTAAAATTGCAATTTCTATATATTGAAAAACGATGATGTGCAACCCATTTAGTTGTGGTCAGACAGATATCTGGTACGCAATATCTTAAAACTGTCAGAACTATTGTGCGAAAACATAAAAAAAAACGACTTTTAATTATTTTTGTACTTTGAACTTTGTTGATTGTTTATTAAATATATTATATATTAGATCAAAAAAATGTTTATGGCTTTTTAACTTGGTTTTCATGGTATCCCTGGAATCGGCTGAAAGTACTGCATGCACTGGTGGATGTAATCCATATAGCTTCATGTTGTATACTTGCCATAGAGACACTAAAAAAAGACAATTTCTTTAATAATATAAAATCAGTGAAGCTATAAGAAACGTACAGACGCTTTGCTTTAGTTGGAACACCTTTTAATTTTCCACTCTTCCTGGTCAACGGGGCAAATATTCTTCTTTTGAAGCCATGGACCTAGGCAATGCCAGTGGAAAGCATGATTACACTGACCCCAAACAACAATGCACTTATAACCAGAAATCGCTTCCATTTCAGCCTGACACACGTTGCACAGTTCAGTCAACAAGTTCCGACAAATTGCGCACTTCCGACACTTACCGGTGTTAACCAAAACCTTGTCATCATTTCCTGATCCGAATACCGATTTTTCATGTTCACTATTTTCCGCCATGTTTAAATACTACGTACGTAATTTTGTAGACTTCAAAATTTTTAATGTCTAAACCCTAGAAGTTGAATGGACTTCAATGTGGTTTACTTATAAACAATCAAAAATGTGTATATCACATTGAATTTTTGTACAAAAATAATTTATACAATTTTTCTTACTGAATAATTTGGAATAAATTTTTCTATATATTTTTTTTTATGAACATTCCTATGTATATTGCTTTAAAATTTAATTTTTAAATTTTTCTATGATACTATGTTTTTTTGTTTTTTTTTTTAAATCAACAAGTTGATACTATACTATTTTTACACAAACACCGAATCTTATAATTGCCTTCTTATAAAGAAATATAGCCGAAAACGTCGAACAGATATTTGTTTGACATAATCGGATTACGCTACCCAGATACATGCGTACCAACGTCATCTAGTGTCGGAAAACTGCGGATATCTTTTGTATTACTTAATAAATAATGCCAAGACTGTGTGGAAGTTGAACTAAATTCACTAAATTTAAATAAAAATTAGATAGGTTGAAGGAGAATGTTACTTTACTTATTTTTGAATTGAAAATTTCGAGAACATTGAAGTTATGGCAATGGCATAATACACGGTCGATGAATTCGCCAAAGGTGGCACATTAATTTTCACAACATCAATTTCAATAGATGTTAGCATTTTTTAATCTCAGTTAAATTTATTATACTAACAGAATTTTTCAACCCAAAGATGACATAGTTACCAAACTAAATCTTTCAGTATTAATTTTCAACACATAATCATTCTGCAATGTCCATAGGAACATAACGAAGGATGTAGCTCAGTGTGACCTATGAGGGTATATGACCAAAAATTATGTGCACAACATCGCTTAGACATTTGAAGGTTTGCTTATTTTCTTCCGCATAGAATACATTCTCTAGAGTCTTATGATAAACCTTATAACTTTATTAAATACTCATTTTCTCTCTAAAGGCAACCGATAAGCTCTACAACATGTTTTGTATAGTCCATACACAGAGCTTTGATAAACCTTTGGATGATTTTTTCGGGCCCAGATGTACTCATGGAGTTGCTCCATCATAAATCGTATGTAGCGTTATATAGTCGATGTAAGCTTATCGCGCTTTGAGCTAACATATTGTGGTCAAAAATCGAGTAAACTGTTACCCAACAAAACTCAGAGAAATTCAGAAATATTACCATAAAAATAAGAACTTGGTTAACTGCCATTACTGACGCTGCTATATATAATTATATAATATGTAAAGTAATAAAAGCGATCTCCGATTTCTACAAGATCAAGATCAAGAACAAGATTTTCTGGAAGATGTATATTTTTTTTTACTCTGTAGTTATTGATGATAGTCTAGAAGTTTAATTAGTCAACCTATGTCTTCTTGCTAAACAAAAGCGATCTCCGATTTCTACAAGATCAAAATCAAGAACAAGATTTTCTAGAAGATGTATACGTTATTCACTCTGTAGTTATTGATGATAGTCTAGAAGTTTAATTAGTCAACCTATGCGTTCTTACTAAATTAAGTGTCTGAATAGCTAATAATGAAAAATATTAAATTAAAATAAAATTCATTATTTCTTAAAACTATATAGCGTTTTTTTTTTAAATAAATTAATATAATATTGATGAATTTATTTAAAAGTCTTGTTACTGTCTTTAGTACTGTCTTGTTTTTTTGTAGGCTCATCACCGATTAAAACATTATGTTCCTTAGTTTTTGCGTTACTATTTATTAAAATATTATTGGAAGAGGAAGTTCGTAGATCGATTCCAATAGTATGCACCATAAAGGGTAATGAAAATGTATTTTAGCCTCCAAAAAGAGTTAGCTCTGTGATGTGAACCAATTTTAAGAAGACGTGAGGAATATTTGCTTAAACTGCAATGTTGTCATTTACAGATACAAAAAAAGAAAAAACAAAAAGAGAAAAAAAATTAAATTTAAAGAAAGTTGAAATACTTTCTTAATTGAATGTAAGAGGAAGAAAATCCAGAAGAAAGTATTCGCAAGAAGTAAAAGTGCATTGTGTTTACATTCGCTTAGTTGGAGTTTGTTGATTGTGCTGAATCCTTTAATTCAGAATGTTTTTCTTGACAATTAGATATTTTTTTAAAATAAATTAATTCTATACGATTTTATTAGTATTTTCAGCACGTTTGTATAACGTTTGTAGTGTTCCATCTTATTTATAGAGTGCAGTTCTAAAGGGTTACTTAGGAATTTCATTGTCGGATTTTGGATGTCCACATCATTTTAGTGTCAATAGTATCAGCATCAATTAAATACACAACTAAATCAAGCATTTTATATTGATTACATGGCAGATCTACTACCAAGATGGTCTTTAGCTTTGGGTGTCCTCAATCCATGTTCCCCACTATTGTTTGAAATAACAATATAAAATTTTCTACTTAATGAAGTTCAATTGTTTAGTAAACGTTAAATAAAAACTTTAAAAAATGGTAAAAAAAAAGAAAAAAAACCAAAAGTAATTGTCCTTTTCTAGATGACAAAAGCCGCAATTAGGTTCTTAATTAAAACTTTTTTTAATTTTGTTTTTCTTCTGCTTGTCTTCATATTTGGCAGTACTTTTGGAGGACACCAAATTGCCACGAATCAATTGTACTTATTTTTTTGCTGCAATCAAAATAAGTTTTTCCCTAACAGAAGAAGAACTATTTTTATTTTAAAATGTTTAGTTTTTAAAATGTTCTAATTGTAATTGTAAATTAAAATTAAATTTAATTCAATTTATTTTTTAATGTTCCAGATTCTTTCGTGCTCGAAGTCAACATGCATGAGCAGCGTCATGAATTTTGGCACTGCACCCGTTGAAGCACGTAAAACTGAGATTGTTATGGACCACGCAAAGGATTTTTTGGATCAGTATTTTACATCAATTAAGCGGTAAGTCATTTAAGCCTTTTATTATAATATATGTATATGACAAACATATTTAAATATAGTACTCAGACGTACGCTAAAAGCTCCATGGTATATTAGAAATATAGATATACACAAAGACTTGAGAGTCGAGAGTGTGTAAAAGTATATCAAACACAGCGCCGTGACATTGTTCGATCTTGTGGATATGCGCACTAATTTAAAATTGCAATCTCTCAAATCAAATGCTATATACATTCGATCAGAAAGATATGTTGGGCTTTAAACTACACTTCTACAAATTTCTGTCTATTTGAATAAATCATTATTAGAACTCAATGGATGAATAGGTCAAACAAGACGTCACAGACATTATTGAATAGAAACATTTTAGACAATAACACGAGTTTCATTCAATCAAAAAAAATCGATAATATCGATAAGATGAAATATTTTACGAATCGGTAGTGTTAATGTCATGGATATCAGGCATCAATATAATCCACAATATATACATATAATTTTTTTTATAAGGGACAAATGCAAATACATGTTTCTTAAGTATTCTTAAGCAATGTCAATATTATTTTCCGAAATGAAAATTTTAAATCGTCATTCAGTATCTTGACACTATCTAAACTATGGTAATCAGCACACAGTTAATTAAGCATACCCACGTATTTATCTAAAGTCTCAAAAATATATTTCTTAAAAAATAATTAAGTATATATATTATGTTTAAACATATTTTGATCAAAAATTTTTTTTTGTGTATATTTTTTTAAAGATCTTCTAGTGCAGCTCATGATGCTCGTTGGCAACAGGCTCGTCAGAGTATTGAAAGTTCTGGTACATATCAGCTTACAGAAACTGAATTAATATATGGAGCTAAACTAGCTTGGAGAAATTCTTCACGATGTATTGGACGTATACAGTGGTCAAAACTGCAAGTGAGTATGACTTTTTATTCACAGAACTTAGAGTATACAAATATTAATAGTCTAATAAATATTAATATTTCATATATCGATACTATATAGTCCTATACTATACAGGACTTAGAGTATTCAAATATTTATAGTCTAGTAAACATAAATATATTATATATATCTATTAAAAAATACATTCAATATAATATAAGAACATATATTATAAAAGAGAGGAAAATAGTGAGGAAATTTTCAAGTCTAATAAATTTTTATTAGTCTTTATGGGCTTATAATTTTTATTCGAAATAGGTTTCATCTCAACATTCATTGATGATGAACATTTGGCAGTATTCAAAACAGTCAAGAATTTATTTGCATAAAATTAAAAAAAATGTACGAATAGAAAAAAGATTTCTTATAATAGGATAAAAGAAAATTTTTAACTGAAATATATTAAATTTATCTTACGGAAGATCTTTAAAATTTAAAAAATCAATTTGATGAGGAAATATAAAAATAGAATAAACTGACAAGTGCACTGACGATGACTATGGCCTTAGCACCTAAAAGCTATGCATGTCGTACTCAAGTACACTTAAAAACATCTTAATTTAATAAAAAATAAAAAAAGGAATAATATCTTCAATTTGTTACTTTCTACCCTTAATTTACATATAGAAGAAAAATATTTTTGCAGTATAAATTTATTCTTTCTTAAATTTTAATGTAAACTCGTGAGCCGCGTTTATTAAATTTATTCCCTAATTCAATGTTGAGAGAAGAGACTCGCATTCAAAAATGTATAGAAAAAAAATTGACTTTTTCCTGACTTATAAATAAAGACAGAGCACTTATAAAAAATGCTTTTAATTTATGTATAAATAAATATATCAAAAATCTTTTAATTTATAGTATATTAAAGTTATACATATACTGTTTCGTTTTATGCAAACAATTAATACAGCGACATCTATGAGTGAATGATAACAGTGAAAAAGGTTACTTGACATTTTATTTAATGTCCTTTTGTGTCGGTCTGCAGATCCAAATTTTATATTAAACAGCATTTAAGTGGTACAGAAATGTACGAAGTGCAAATTTTTTATACACTTAAACACTATCGTGAAGACTTTGAAGACAAGAACCAAGTCCTAACGCCAAAAATCAATCACAGTGTAAAAACCAATAAAAAAAAGTATTTCGAAACTAATGGGGTTTAGTTCCTTGGAATTTCATGATGAATGTTATCCTAAATTTTAATATACAAGCTATGCACTGAAATCTGCAATTATAAATTTGTAATAAATTTATATGCTGATATTAGAAAAGTAATTATTTATTAGAGAAGAATATATAGTTAAAAGAAAGTCTAATTGTAAACAAAAAATTTACAGACAATAAACAATCTAATTATATGTAGTATAGTAGCTATCTGTTTTTCTTTCAGAGTTGGAAAAAACACTCACAAGTTACGTTAGAAAACATGCGAAGCAACAACAATGCTCTTAAAATGTTCAGAGTTAGGTTTTACTCGCAAAAAATTTTACGTCTCAAGTTTCAGAGAAGTCAAATTCAAAAATTAGTGAATTGTGAATGTTCACTGAAAATATGTTGTAAAATTACAGTCATCCAAAGAAACCCGCAGTTGCCAAAGAAACCCGCAGGAGAAAGAAACAATAATACATTTTCTCTGTGAATGCCCAGCTCTAGCATCTAGAAGATATAGGTTCTTAGGAAAATACTTTTGTGATAGTTTATCAGACTGCTCAATGGTGAAGATGAAAGACCTATTAATTTACCTAAATTCAGTGGGATGGATTTAGTCTCCACTCTTCTATACTAGGGTTCTTGCGAGGAATGTGGTAAGAAAACGGCGAAAAATCGCTAATTGAGGTACATTTGAAGTTATCTTCAAATAACCCACTGCAACCAACCAACCAACCAACAGTCATCCATCAATTTCATATGAGCATTTCATTTACTAATTAATTCAAATATAAAAATAAATTAATTAATGTATATATATAAGATGAAAATGCTAACCATTATCCTTCTTATATGCATTTTTTTTGGATTTTATTTACTATTATTATTAAAAGAAGGGATTGTGCACTGCGACCTAAAAGATCTATAGCGCCCTGTACTCGGGTTAGAGTGTTTCTCCAAGTCCGATATCTTTAATGAAAGGCCTACCATTTCTAGTCTTGAATCTTTATGATCCATTTTCTTTTATGTAATATAATTAATTTTTAATATTTACAATTTTATTAATCATATTGTACACAACACAATATGAAAAAAAAACATTTAATATATTTTAAAAATGATGCCAATCTGCTTCAACCAGACTTAGTGTTATTTTTTTACAACTCTGAAAGAAAAAATTACTGCTCTTATAAAATAGTTCTTAAAAAAAAGCCTGAAAATACTTTTTACTTTAAAATTAGTTCAAGTGCTTGATAAATTTTACTACTATGAGTATTTGCAAAAAACATTTAGGTTTGAAATCTTATCATATTTACAGTGGTTTTTGGATGGTTAACCAAACGTTAAACCTATTAAATTCTACTAAAAATAGTAATGTCAAGTTTATAAGGTGCTGCATGTCAAAGTAAGCATTGAAGAGTTGGTCGACCTACGCAAAAAAAAAAATTATATAAAAAACATAAAACTAATCAAAAAACACTTAAAAATTCACTGTCCAGAAAAATATCCTTTCAAAGGACTTAAGTTTTCTTTGCAACTCAACCTAACTAAACAAAGTTCAATTCAACTTAAAATAACGTGAAGCGTGAAATTTTACTACTGAAACTTCAAGAGGTGCCCGGTTCAACACCTTTTTAACCCCAATGTGCTTCAGCACAGACTCCGACGGAAACGGAAATTAAACTAACTGAAGCAACTTAAGAACGTCTCACAAAGTCTTATAGCGCCGAAAGCCGAACGGAAAATCACTTAAGAGTATTTAAGTAGAAATTTTATTGAAGTTTTCTATTTATATTGTTTATAAATTATTTTTGATTTATTTTTGATTTATTTTTGATTTATTTTAATTGAAAATGTATTATATTTATAGTTAATATGACCTCCTCACTCACTGGGAAATAAAATAAATTCACATTTGTTAAGGATGTGCACTTGTCTTTACGCCCATTTTCATTTTTATTCGTTTCGAGTTTTTGCTTAAATAGTCTTTCAATTTTCCATAAAAAATGCATTCAACTGAAATAATTGAAAAAACAAAATCTGAGTGTCAATGCTGCGGAAATAAGTAAAATAAATATGCCTTTCAGTTGCCTTCCGATCACATGTAGAAATGGCAGTATATGAAGAGACTATTGAACACGGATGCTTTTCGATGTAGATACTAGCAAATCGTCTTTGGACTCTGAGTGCAAAGTTGTGAAAATTTATTTGATTGTATCGTTTTCCTTACTAATAATTTAGTCACTAAACCAAAACTAAGTAAAGACTCAGAGTGTGTTAAATTTGTGAAATGGTTGAACTTCCTTTCAATTTAGATCCTTTAAACTTTTCCAATGCATTATAGATTTAATAAAAGTTCATCTACGGTTGGTTGTTTGGTCGGTTGCAGTGATTGTTCAGCAGTTATATTTTCGTTCTACATTATTAACGATTATTTTCCATTTTTATATACATTCCGTACAAGAACCTGATATATAAGACTATATCCCTCCTATTAAGTTTTTTTAATTTTTAATTTTGCACTTACTGATTTATAGAATTACAAGAATTTGATAAATAAGACTATATCCCTTCTGTTAGGTATTTCTAATTTAACAGATTTCTTGTACTTACTAATTAATAGAACTACAACGATTTGATAGATAAGACTATATCCCTCCTGTTAAGTTTTATTAATTTAACAGACCTTTTGTACTTACTAATTAATAGAACTACAACGATTTGGTAGATAAGACTATATCCCTCCTGTTAAGTTTTATTAATTTAACAGACCTTTTGTACTTTTTGATTAATAGAATTACAAGAATTTGATAAATAAAACTATATCCCTTCTGTTAGGTATTTCTAATTTAACAGATCTTTTGTACTTACTAATTAATAGAACTACAACGATTTCATAGATAAGACTATATCCCTCCTGTTAAGTTTTATTAATTTAACAGACCTTTTGTACTTTTTGATTAATAGAATTGCGAGGATTTGATAGATAAGACTATATCCCTCCTGTTAGGTATTTCTAATTTAAAAGATCTTTTATTCTTACTGATTAATAGATTAACAAGAACTTGTAAGATAAGCCTATATCCCTCCTGTTAAGTTTTTTTTATTTGATAGACCCTTTATCCTTACTGATTAAACGTTCCACTAACAGCTAAAGTAATAACCTAAAGCCTTTTTTTCTTTGAAATTGTAAATAAATTTTGCAATTAAAATTGAATGGAATGTATAGTTTTTCTGTGGTTATATATCAGGGACCTGTTATAATTGCAGCATGGACTTAGTTCCTATTAAAAGGATAATGTTGTATTATATGAATGCCTACCAGGATACTACTTATATTGTAAATGACATCTATTTTTTATCAGCGAGCTGAAGAAAGTAAATGTAGACGTTTTTTCAAACATTCATCAGAGGAATATAGTTCAAAAAATCAAGATAGATACATGTCAAAGCAATAAGGCGGACAAAATTATCTTCTTTCTTATTTCCTTTAATGCTTTCCCAAGCGAAAACTCGGATAAGAGTTATTTCAAGTATTTGATTAGGCCCTTCCATTTGTATGTTACACTCTGTGATTTGATTTATTACTGAATGATTGAATAACTTTAATTGCAGTTACTTTCATAATAATATTCATCCATGGTATATCAGAAATGAAGATATACAGAAAGACTTGAGAGTCGAAAGTGTACAAAAGTATACCAAAAAAATAGTGCTGAAATTGTTTGGTGCTGTAGAAGCCCGCACTTATTGAGAATTGCACTCTCTCAGATCTGATACAATATATATTCCAACAGAGAGACATGCTAGACTTCAATAAAATTATCTATATAATTTATTGTCAGAATTTAGCTGAGCTCTTATTACAGTGAATCATCTAAATGATCACACTATTGAGTAAAAGTGTTCTAGACACTAACTCAAGTTAGACAAAGCAAATAAGAAGAAGAGTAATATTGTAAGCAATGTATTGTAGTACTTACTTTCTTCCTTTTTATTCGATCCTAGTAAATGATGGTAATTTTCAAGATTTATAATAATCTTCGGATTTTTCTAATTCCAGTATGTCGACCTCATTTCTGAAAAATAATTTGCTCTTTGTTATATTTAGTTCACTTTATTTTACATTATCATATATTGTTTTCTTAATTTATATAATTCTAATATATATTATTGTGCATCAAAGTTTTTCTTTTATTCTCTCTTTAATTTACCTTATATATATTACATATCACAGAGTATAAATACCTTACATTTATTCATTTTATTCTCTCATCAGATTGGTTTGCAAAACCAATTGACTTTTGTATCCTCTTTTGGCTGTCAAATACCAATATTGTTCCCCAAAAATTTTATTTATTGGATTGAATTCTAAAAGACAAATGATTTTTTTTTATTAATATTAAATATATGTTGTATTTGAATATTATAAAGGAAAAAAATTATTATTTAATGGAGTCAATCGCCACGAATAACGTCTCGAATCACGATATATTGAGCATCCCTGCTTTATTTGTTAAAATTGCTTAGTACATACCTAACCCTAAGAGATGTATGTTATCTTTAATCGTGTCCAATATATTTAAAATACTAATTGCAAAATATTTGCTCAGAACTGTTTCAAAAAATGGCTCAAAATATATATTCAGAGACTACAGAAACAGTTCTAATAAACAATATTATATTTTATATATTATATATACGAATATATTAAAAACATTTTATGTTTGAATCATGTTTTATTTATCGTATCCTTAGCTATACAACAAAGCACAAAGTTCCGCGTCTTCTGCTTCATACGCATTCATCCAACCTTCTTCTCCATTGTTAGGTACGGGTGCAGGAACTAGCTCTTCTGCATTAATTTCTTTTTTTACCCGTTTAGCGTTTGGCTCATCATTACGGTCTTCCCCTGGCTTACCACGCTTCTTTGGATTTTCTTTTGCACGGCCATATGTTAATCGAGAATTAAATATCATCATATTTGGACTGTAATTTAGTACATAATTTAAAAAAGTCTCATCGTCATCCATCTATATATAAAGGTTATTTAATTCTGATGCTAACACTGATTATTTGATAAGAACTATAAGAACTTCGTGTCATACGACCTTACCTCTACGAAGTCAGCGGGCAACTGAATACCTTTTGTCTATACTTCAAAAAATGTATATATGAAAACGATTTGATTGTCGGTGATGACAGTAAATATAATATATTAATTTTAACCCCGTTTACTCAGTCAATTACAAATTGACTTAATTTGAATTTTTCTTATTTCTGTAATATATCCCATTAATTGCAATATTTCTTAATAAAGTTTAGGAAAAAATAGATTATTTATATACCTAGATCTTGAAACATATGTATTTGGAAGCGTACTGAACATAACCTAAATTAAATAGTAAAATAGTTAGGCACATGTAAAAGTTAAATATATTAAATTTGAATAAATAAGCTCATTTACACGACGCAATTAGTTCTCATTTCGATTATAATGATGTTCATCGAGTTTGGTTCATTAACAACCTATTAATGAAACGGATACTTATTGTGATTTTGTCGGAATCTTTTAAGCTTTGTGGGGTATAATTTTAGAACTAAAAACAGTTGACACTAGACATCATACTAGTTGCATTTATATCAATATTAATAGTATCAGTATCAGAGAATAGGCCCTTTCCAAGTTTCTTTATTGTGTTCTTAGACTAAGACATCACCTGACGCTCTTAGAGTAGATTGTTTGGAATCATCCTTTAATTACTTTTCAAATGCTATTAAAAATCAGTTAATATAAATTTTATATTTCTAAGTACGAAAATTATAATAAGAAGCAAATAATCCAAAGTAAATATTACTGGTTTAATATATAATTTGTAATCTAATATACTTATAAGTGAATATAATTAATTAAATGAATTTACATATTTTTGAAATATATTTATTTCCAGGTTTTTGATTGCCGGTACGTAACAACAACAAGTGGCATGTTCGAGGCAATTTGCAATCACATAAAATACGCAACCAACAAAGGAAACCTAAGGTAAGCTCTTTGGACGCAATAGTATCTAGAAAGAAAGAGATATATCTTTCATTATTCAAATTTCATTATTTCGAATATATTTTTTAGGTAAGAATCGGTATTTAGAGAGAACTCTAAAGGTTTCTTAGTTACAAGATTTTGATCGTTTGTTATATCAAGTGTGTCCTAAACCCAATAGTCTAATGTACTTAGAAGTCTAGAACATTTGTATTTTATGCTAGTGGAGACTAAATGCTAGTAGAGGTCAAAATGAAGTATATATAAATAACTCCTAGCGTTTGTTTGTTGATATGTGCTCTGTGTGGCAATACATAATATTGTTGAGAACCCTACGCTTTCTCACCAAACTGTAAATGTGTGGTTCTTTGAAGTTTTAAGGTACCCCCTTATAACGATACCATGCTTATGCTATTAAATACCATTGTGAATTAATTTTTTCTTCTAGAATTTGGTTTAGAAGTACTAACAGACGTTTATAAATTATGATATCAGCTACTGGTAGGCGAAATATAGATACCAGAAAAGATCTGAATAGATCTTTAAGAATAAGATATTCATTGTTTGACACATTATTGCTATGATTGAAAGTTATAGCAGTTTGAGGTTACTGCAGTTCAATTGGACCAGACACCAGTTATTACTCAATTTTTGTTTCTGTTTTTTTATTTTTTTTCTATTTAATTAAATTGTTTTTATTTTCTGTCATTTTTCCATACTTAATTATTTAGTAACTAAATAAAATAGAAAGAATAAAATTAGTTTTCATTAGGAAATTATAAGGGTTACATTGTGATTGTTATTTAATTTTAAAAATATTTTAATATTTTTGTTATGATTTCAAATTTAATTTTTCAGTAAAAAATTAAAAAAGAAGGTATGGAAATATACTATTAGTATGAAGAGTACAGTTATAACAGTTTAAGAGTTATAGCAGCTTAAAGTTTGTTGCAGTCTTATTCGACCACGCTGTGATTATCATTAAAGTTTGGAAATTTAGAGAAGGAATAAGGATTAGCTATCACTAGATTAAATATCGACACAGCATTGCTACTGTTTTGAAGTTATAGCAGTTTAAAAGTTATAGCAGTTTGAAGTCTTTTCCAGTTTTATTCGATCATACTGTAATTATTATTTTATTTTGAAAATCTGTTATTAATTTTGACAAAATATCGACACAGCATCGCTACTGGTTTGAAATTTATGTTGAGCCTTTTCCGAGTTAGTACATCTGGGCATTTTTACTTTATGATAACTGGGGGGTTACTGCAGAGTCACACCCACCTCACTGACTAATTTGAGTATTCCTCAAAATCTTCGTGATTATTCAATGATTGATCTAAGATCTGCGTACCGTCCCGTGCGGTTAGTGATTACTCTGAGATTAGATAGTGCTAAGTAGGGCAGCCTGTCGATTTTCGCATATAGCTTCAGAGCTCTGTCCTTTATGTATTTTTTGATATTTTAAGGTCTCTTAGCATGTTATTCGTGCGGATGTACCATAGCGCTTTGAAGAGCCTTCGGAGAGCCTGACTTTGAGTAACTTGTAGTTTTTGGATAGTAGAGTCAGCAGCTTTACTATACGCAGTTTAAAAGTTATAGGAGTTGGAAGTTTGTTTCTGTTTTATTCGACCACACTGTGATTATCTTTTAATTTTGGAAATTTGTTATTATTTTGAATAATTTTCAAAAATAATAATCATTTCTTTAGCAACTAAATGGAAAAGAGAGAATTATATAAATTTAATGAAAATATTTTATTTCAACGAGAGCAGTTTTTGTCTTTCGCATAATAAAATAAAGGATATTTAATCCATTACATTATTCAACTGCACATAGTCCGGATATAAAGGGATAGCATTGAATATTTCATATTCAGATATGTGCGAGCATCTTCACAAAGCGTTGAGTTTAATGGCATTTAAGTATTTTTCATGATCCATAAATGAATTATTTCGTATTCACAAAGAAAATAATAAATGTAAATTCTGGATGAATCTCACGTATTGTATTATTTACTTACATTTGTGTATTAAAATGCATTTGCAGTCTCATCCACAAATTTGTCAATGAAATTGTTGCAAACGGTCGCTGCTTTATTTGTCACAAAATGAAAAATTCGCTGTAAATGCGGTTAGTTGCTATCTGCAATGGCAACAGCAACAGCAACAGCAACTGAAATCATTGTTGCTGGCATTGTTTTGTCGTTTTGTTGTGTTGTTAATATTTTATTAGTGTTTCAACCCATTTAAGCTCGAAAATCCCCGTCGAAGTTTGCACATTTTCTGGGATGCTTAACTGTTGCATTACTCTCTGTTTATGGACTTACCATGTGTGCACCAAAAGTTTTTGCGGTTTACCACACGGAGCATCATTTTGTGCAATAATAATGATCTGCGAATTAATAGCAAATAATAATTATCAAGTTGATACAGGATATAACAAAGTCTTACATACTTCAAAACACACATGCTGTACAGTAATTAGTTCAACTAACATTTGATGATTATCTTGTTGAAAAAGTTGTTGATATAGTCATCTTGTCATCATATAGTGACTGAATGATGAGCAATGAATACCACATTATTATAATTAAGGTAAATTATTTGTGCACTACATAATCTAAGGGGTTCTACTTTGATGAGTCTTCTGTTTACGGTAAATCAGTTTTATATTATTAAAGAATTCAACAACTTCATAGATTAAAAGAGTGGAATGGGAAATGTGAAGAGCTCTGAAGGTGAAGACTTCATTACTATTTACCATTTACTGTTTTTTCGGAATGGCAGGATCGCATTATCTATGATTTAAGCTTACTAAGTGGCATTACTGTCGTATTTGAATGTCGTAGCTGCCAAAAAATTCTCCGATTCAAAGATATGTGAGAACTTTAGGAAATGAGAGATAAATGAGATAAATGAGAGATAAATAAGATCATATCTTATAAAGATAAAGATAATAGATTGACACATTCCTTAATCATTAACAGCTGCCATGACTAAAACTTATTTATTATGGATTGCGTACCATTACCTACTTTATCCAAATTTAAAGCACGGTATCTATATTTTGCAACCAAAGTTGAATATGAAATAAATTTTTGCTCTCACAGAATTGAAAAATGCTATTCACCGTAAATGGAAATTTTCATGACTTTATGAATTGTACTGTTTAAAGTTGTTAGAGAAGTAAAAAAATTGAAATTGGGATGGTACATCGAGTTTTATGGAGATTATATCACGTGACGACCGTATGGTGTTTAATTACCTATTGTTACCACGAGATCTATTGAGTTCTTTTTCAAAAGTCAGTATGTTTCACAGTATGTCTTATACTTGCAATCAATTCTAATACTTAATTTACCAACATTTTCTTTTGTATAGTATATAAGGCACACACCTATTATTATTTTCATTTATGCATCAGCGCAGATCTGGTTTCCAGCAGTCCTCTCTTTCCTACACACTCCACAAGTTCAATTAGATTAAATTGTTATTTTTGTATAAAATGATGTTCAACACGTTACATATATTTGAAATTAAAAACAACTACTCTTTTCCAGATATATTATTGTCTTCGTTATATATAATTTAAAGAAATTAAACCAAACATTTTATTGATGACTCTCTATGAATTCAATTAACACCTCTCCCATCTTGTTGTTATGACATCTTCGTTACCATTTGATTCTTCGATTGTTAGAAAGATACAACTTCTTGTTGTAGCAATTCGTAAAGATTGCAGCTTTAAATTCGTTTATTCAAGATTCTGTTGTCTATGTCTACTTTAAGGAAAATATACTTCTGTCAGAAATTATAACATCTGGAATATTCTAGATGAGTTACACGGCACAACGTCCTATTGGAGCCATTCGTAAAAATTACAGTCATGATTCCGTTTAATTAAGATATTATCGTCCATGTCTTCTTTAAGAAAAATACACCTGTATAGAAAATTTAGTATCTGTAAAATACTAGACGAGTTTGAAGAGATACAGATACTTCCATGACTAAAACTTATTTATTATGGATTGCGTACCATTACCTACTTTATCCAAATTTAAAGCACGGTATCTATATTTTGCAACCAAAGTTGAATATGAAATAAATTTTTGCTCTCACAGAATTGAAAAATGCTATTCACCGTAAATGGAAATTTTCATGACTTTATGAATTGTACTGTTTAAAGTTGTTAGAGAAGTAAAAAAATTGAGATTGGGATGGTACATCGAGTTTTATGGAGATTATATCACGTGACGACCGTATGGTGTTTAATTACCTATTGTTACCACGAGATCTATTGAGTTCTTTTTCAAAAGTCAGTATGTTTCACAGTATGTCTTATACTTGCAATCAATTCTAATACTTAATTTACCAACATTTTCTTTTGTATAGTATATAAGGCACACACCTATTATTATTTTCATTTATGCATCAGCGCAGATCTGGTTTCCAGCAGTCCTCTCTTTCCTACACACTCCACAAGTTCAATTAGATTAAATTGTTATTTTTGTATAAAATGATGTTCAACACGTTACATATATTTGAAATTAAAAACAACTACTCTTTTCCAGATATATTATTGTCTTCGTTATATATAATTTAAAGAAATTAAACCAAACATTTTATTGATGACTCTCTATGAATTCAATTAACACCTCTCCCATCTTGTTGTTATGACATCTTCGTTACCATTTGATTCTTCGATTGTTAGAAAGATACAACTTCTTGTTGTAGCAATTCGTAAAGATTGCAGCTTTAAATTCGTTTATTCAAGATTCTGTTGTCTATGTCTACTTTAAGGAAAATATACTTCTGTCAGAAATTATAACATCTGGAATATTCTAGATGAGTTACACGGCACAACGTCCTATTGGAGCCATTCGTAAAAATTACAGTCATGATTCCGTTTAATTAAGATATTATCGTCCATGTCTTCTTTAAGAAAAATACACCTGTATAGAAAATTTAGTATCTGTAAAATACTAGACGAGTTTGAAGAGATACAGATACTTCTTATTGGAACTGTTCGTAAAGATTACAGTCTTTAAACCGATTAATTAAAACTGTGTTTGTATAAAAAAAAAAAAATTAGCAGATATTATATTTCAAGCTATTTCAATGGTTTTAGATATTATTAATTCAGTGTCCAAATTTCTAATTACATAGTTCTTTTTACCTTTACACAAATACTCATAAAACCATTTGAAATGAATATAAGATACCTACCTTGACTGTTGTTGGTTTTGTTGGCTGGTCTTGGTTTTCAATGCAATTGCGGCCACAAATTTCATTCATTCATAGACAAATAAATTTAATATCTGAGTTTGCTTCACCATTTACCATTTTACCAAATCACAATGCTTCACATCCACTGCGAAAGAGGAAAATTTATACAATTTTAGAATTCCACGATTTTAAAAATTTTTGAAATTCACGAATTTGTTCATCCCGTACACCTCATACACCTCATACACCCCATACACCTCATACACCTCATACACCCCATACACCTCATACACCCCATACACCTAACGTACCTTGTACAATACTTGTATTTCTTGTCGGGGCTTTGCTCGCTCTTTGAATATTGATGGTGCAGCATAAATCATGTCTGGTAAGCAAAAGATACATATTCATATGCGCCAGTTGGACTCGTCCAAATTGAAATATTTTGCTTTAATATGTTTTTGCCACAATTTATATCATTTTCATATTTCCTTCTAATTTTTATGTTTTTCTCCTCTTCTACTTTTCGACGACTGTGTGTGCAGGTCGGCGATTACAATATTTCCACAAAGGACCGATGGTCTACATGATTATCGCATCTGGAACAGCCAACTCATTTCGTACGCTGGCTACAAGCAAACCGACGGCAAAGTTGTGGGCGATCCTATGAACGCAGAGTTTACTGAGGTAAGCACGGTACAACTTTGATTATGATTACGATTACATTTTTGTTTTTGTAGTGTAAGTTACTTTAGACTTTAGAATGTGACCAAAAATATTTTACTACTACCAACGCTTTTTCTATAATGTTTGTGGTTTTACTTTCGAATTTTATTATACAATTTCATTTTATTTTTTTTTTATTTTATTTCATTTTATTTTCACATTATTTTATTTTTTTTTAACGTATATTTTTCTTTTGGTTTTCTATGAATTCAAAAGTTTTAGATTTTGTTTTGATTAAGCATTGCTGTGCACTGTGTGTGGACATACCCCATTGATGGTGGTGACGGTTATATGGGTATTAATCCACAGAATATGCACACGTTTTCATAGAAAAAAAAACAAAAAACACAATTTCAAATATTTAATTTTTATTTTAATATAAAAATATTTTTTTACATTGCTTTTATGGAGTTTATTTCATAGAATTTGATTGGAATAACTCGTAATATTTTTTTCAAAACATAGACACATACACCTACACACGTGTGTGAACTTATTATGCACATATATTGTATGAGCCGGCCTTAACCTCACAATATTTAACATATTTATTCCATTATGTTTCTATTTTTCTCGATTATGTTATAGTTTTTCTTTTATTTTTCTATTCTATATATTCGTTTTGTTTGTGTATTTCTTTTTTCGATTTGTGCTTTATAAAAATTCGTTTTTAATTTTAGGTTTGCATGAAATTGGGCTGGAAGGGTAAAGGCACGGAATGGGATATTTTGCCGTTGGTTGTATCAGCAAATGGAAACGATCCCGACTATTTCGATTATCCACCGGAATTAATCTTGGAAATCCCATTAAGTCATCCGAAGTAAGTTTAACATTTATTCTTGCTATTTTCATTCTTGTTATTGTTGTTATACATATTCATCTATTGTTATTGTTGTGTTAGTTGTTGTCAATTATGTTTGTGGTTATGTCAACAATGATATTTTGTAGTTGTTGTTGCCAGTGTTGTCGCATTCAGCGTACAGCAATGATTTAGTTGCAATGATATGGGAATGGATTTTCAATTGACTTTATGGTTGGATTAAGTATATTTCACATTCTATATATGTTATATTATTGAAGAGCTTGAAAGTACTGTTATTCAAAGGGATTTAATAATAATGCCTATTGTCCACAAATTAGAGTCCTTAAATAAAATACATACATATGTATAAAAGGATAAGAATGGATGAAGTGCTATTTTAAGCACAAATAAAGTTATATGCCGAAAGTTTATACACCATTGAACTATAGCAAAAAAGAGAATAACAAAAAATAAATATATTTAATGTTTTCCAATTATTTGAGACAATTTCATATAATTTACTAATAATATAATCGATCTCATATATAATGAGACTGGGCTTAAAAAAAAATTAAATTGTTTATATTTGCAAATTTAATTTTGATTATTAAAATTAGACTTCTTTTAAGTCAACACAGCCATAAAAACAGTTTTTGTAATCATCCACCAGAGTGGGCTTTAGTATGTTGTTCGAAAGGATTGAATGACTGGGATGCTATTGTAATAAATTGCTTTTATCAGCAACTTTAGACTGATGTCTTTCAAACTAACAGTAGGTCTTTTTTTTTGTAAGCATATTGCAAAAGAACAACATAAAATAAGCACTACTTCTGATGGCAACTCTGGAAACACTGGCAATTTTGTTGGGCTTATATATGCAAAACACGTAAAAAAATTCAAAACTGAAGTTTCGAAAATAATTAAGTTTTGCAATTATGGGATAAAATATTTTAAACTAGAAATTTTGTACGTACTTCCAAAAACCGTTCAAAATAGACAAATTTTTAGTCTCGACAACCATGTGATTCGAGCTGATTATTAGTTAAGCGGTTCCAAAAACGTTGGACTAAAAAAGCCAGCAGTGTTGCTTTTTCATATATTATTTTTAAAACAAGCGGTTGTTCTTTTGTGATATGCTTACAAAAGAAAAGACCTTGTCTTAACAATCTGAAAGCACAGTAGTTCAAATTAGTTAAATACAGTGGAAGATCGATGTGAATTTCTCTTTATTTGGTCAAAGAATTGAGTACATTTATTGTTCTGTAGAATTGTGCAGTATCCTGCAAAAGAACTAAACCTTTAAATAGGTAGAATTCTCACAAACAATTTTATATAATTAATCTATTTTATCCTAAACTTTATTTAGAAATATTGCAATTAATGGGATATATTATAGAAATAAGAAAAATTCGAATTAAGTCAATTTATAATTGACTGAGTAAACGGGGTTAAAATTAATATATTATATTTACTGTCATCACCGACAATCAAATCGTTTTCATATATACATTATTTGAAGTATAGACAAAAGGTATTCAGTTGCCCGCTGACTTTGTAGAGGTAAGGTCGTATGACACGATGTTCTTATATGGTAGTTCTTATCAAATTATCAGTGTTAGCATCAGAATTAAATAACCTTTATATATAGATGGATGACGATGAGACTTTTTTAAGTTATGTATTAAATTACAGTCCAAATATGATGATATTTAATTCTCGATTAACATATGACCGTGCAAAGGAAAATCCAAAGAAGCGTGGTAAGCCAGGGGAAGACCGTAATGATGAGCCAAACGCTAAACGGGTAAAAAAAGATATTGATGCAGAAGAGCTAGTACCTGCACCCGTACCTAACAATGGAGAAGAAGGTTGGATGAATGCGTATGAAGCAGAAGACGCGGAACTTTGTGCTTTGTTGTATAGCTAAGGATACGATAAATAAAACATGATTCAAACATAAAATGTTTTTAATAAATTCGTGAAGTTGAAATTTGTGTATCATCCGTTGTTTATGTTTTTAGAAAATAAAGTCGATTTTAGTGATTCTTTATGCCTGTACTTATAGGTATAGGGTTGCATTTTATAAAATTTATATTTCACCATAAAATGGAATACATCTACATTTACACTTGATTGCAAATTACATATGTGACGTATACATATATAGTTTGTGACTAATAAGTTTGAAGTAACTAGTAAAAAATTCGTTTTATCCTTAAAATAAATTTGTCACTAAAAATGGAGTACAACTACTGCTAAGTTTGATTGGAATATACATATGTTGTGTATTTAGTACTAAACACAAAATCGGGCTCTGAAATGACTTTTCAAGGTACCATGGTACATTAGAACGAATGACATCTTCAGGAACCTCAAAATTGACCGATCAAAAAGTACATAAATGATAGAGCCCTGAAATTATTTACGAAAACTGACAGACTTACCAACACCGTATTATTGAATCTCAGAATGGTTACAAGCTCCTCGGAGAGGTATGCAGATCTATATATTATACATTATTTTTCATTTCAATTTGTAATAAAATTCTACATAAAACCTAAAAGTTTCAAAATTGTCTTGTTCGTAAAAGTATTTTTTAAAAATTAATTTATCCTTTACCTCATACTAAACATATACGATTTTTCAGTAAAAAGAAAAAAAGGAGCATATCAGAAAAAATTTCAGTTTTTGTTTTTTATTCGCATTTACCAATAAATTCTCCTTCAAAAATAGATATATCCGGTGTGGCATTGTTTCTAGAAGTAATTAAAAAAATTAATTTATCAGGTGTCCTACACGTCACTCATACGCACCGTGTTACCACTAAATCAATAGTACACAAAAAATGACACAAAATGTTTATTTTTTTTCTATCTAAATTGATTTTAAAAATTAATTCTACACAAAAATTAAATATCGAATTTTAGCATAATTAAACCACTTAATTTTTTTAAAAAACGAGAGATACTAATTTCAAAAAGGCTCATTACGATAAGTCTTGTGAGCCAACACTCCTCCTTCTTATATTAATAAATTAAAAACTTAATGAGTTCTGCACTACCTCTACACTATCTGAACTACTCATCTACTCGAGATGTTAAAGTGTTTAATATGGGTCCGTTTATATGTAACAATTTAAATGACGTCATCATCAAGGATTTCCAGAAGTTATTGATTTACAGTTCTAGAATATTTGAAGCAGGTTCTTAAAAAAACATTCTGTGCGTGAAGGACTGCAAATCATGCAGTGTATAGTCAAAATTGACTCTGTTGTACTAGATAGGGACATGTAGGTTCAGAGTTTAAAGTAATTCTTTTTTTTTTTGTTTTGAGTGTGCAAGTACCAGTTATAGAACTCATGCCCTGCCAAATTTGAAGTTCGGAGTCAGCGCTGTTTAACCAACTGACACAAAGCCTGACACTAGACTTTTATATTCGCACATTTTTCTGAAGTTTTGTTAATTTGCTGTGAAAGTTTTATTAACAAATTCACTTGCCGTGGTTTAAATTAGAACGAAATCATAAATCAGCTGTAGAATAATTAAATTAATTAATTATATTTTTTATTCTTTTTATTATTAAATTTCAATACTATTCTGTTTGTAGAGGCATTATTTGTTTAATGATTTGTATATTCTTTCTTAGGTATAAACTTTAGACAAATACAAATCAAGTTATTAATTTTATGGTGATATTCCTTCATCATGTCGTTGATGATGAACCATTTTGGATGTTTTCTATGTACACAAAACGTTCTTCTTTTATTTTTAAATGCATTTTTTCGAAATAGTAAAAATTGCAAGGCGGCAGCAGATGTAATATGTGTCCTTATTCCAAAGTAAACAAAACTGTGAACTTTTTAAATTCATCTTACATATAAAGTTTTTCTAATACTTAGATTCATTATTATCCGAAAATGACCATTTTGGAGTTTATTTGACCTATTTAATCTTCCAAATTCAATATTTTGAAAGCTGTGCTGTTTTATTTTCACAGAATCGAAATCGAAATCGAATTTATGTGATTTCCTGATTGAACATGAATTTTTAATGAAAAATCTTAATTTATTTTATTTTAAATGAACTTTTAGTAACGGCAACGGCAATAGCAATGGCAATGGCAATGGCAGTGCAACAATAGCAAGCAAACGCACGTTATTCAGATAAATTTGTTTCCATTTTATTTTCACACTCTGTTGATATTTGTTCTGATATGTGGGTACCAAATCAAATAAAATTGATGTGAACTCATCAAATAAAATGTTGTGGAAAGGGAATCAAAAAAGAAAAAATAAATGCAAACGAAAAAAGTAAATAAAATAAAATAAAATAAAATAAAAAGCACGCAAAACATCAGGACATGTAATCCTTCATGACCACACACATGAGCAGAGCCCAAAATATAAATGTTCAACTGTCACCTGGCTAACGAGATATGCACACATCCACATTCCCGCAAACATTGCCACTGATACGACAATAGCACATTTGATGCGCATCCACACAAGCGCACGCCTCTCTGTCTGCCTGCCTGCCTGCTTGCCTGCCCGCCTGCCAGCTAGCATATGACATTTGTAAGCATATTTGAGTGGACATTTTGTGCATGTTTGTGCTGACAATATTTGACAAATTTTTTTCTATTTACTAGCAAATTATTGACATCAACGACAACAATGACCTTCATAATTTATTTCATCTTTTTTTATCACTTTTTATTGTTGTTTTCTTTTTCTTACGAAATCATAGCAGTTGTTATTGTAGCTCTCCACAACGAGAGCAGCTGCCGCTGCTGTTGTTGTTGTTGCTGTTGTTGCAATTGTTGTTGTTGCTGTTCTAATAAATTTCCGTCTACATTGTTTGTAGGTTCGAGTGGTTTGCCGATTTGGGCTTACGTTGGTATGCAGTACCGGCGGTTTCGAGCATGTTGTTCGACGTTGGCGGACTACAATTTACGGCAACCACATTCAGCGGTTGGTATATGTCAACAGAGATTGGCTGTCGGAATTTATGTGACACAAATCGTCGTAATATATTAGAGGTAAGTGAAACACACTTGGTTAACAAGAAAAACGATATACAAAGACTAGAAACAGTACCGCAAATTGACATAAAAAAACAAAAACAAAAAAACAAAAAAAAAAAAATAAAACAGAAATTATATATGAAATTGATAATATAAAATCAAGTACAAGTGATTCGATGATGTCCTAAGTCACGAGTGTTTGTACAAGCATAAGTACACGATGGGTTTACTCATACCACCCGAGAATAAACTCAGAGGCGGTCAAGTGCAATAAAATATATTGGAATTACATTAAAGACAAAAAAGAGAAAATATTTATAATTCCTTTGTATTGCAGTTCTATATAATAGACTTTAGTCACGAAACTCATTTCTCTGTGAGGCTTATTGTGACAAATTAAATTACATATATATATATATATATATATATTTATTAATTTTATTTTTTTATGATATGCTCAGTATTTCTGAGTAGAAAATTAAAAAAAAAAATATAAAACATATTATAAAAAAAAAAAATTAAAATAGAAATTTAGAATAAGAACAATCAAGAAACAATAAACAATAAATAAATAAATAATAATATAAAAAAAGGCCTCTAAAATAATAATAATAGTTAATAATTGCCATTATTTAATGTTGAAACAAAGCTGAGTTAAAAATGGAAAAAAATATTATAGAACAAATGTTAAAAAAAAAAATTGAAATAGAAATTGAGAATAAGTACATTGAAGTAACAATAAATAATAAATAAATAAGTAATAATATAAAAAAATAATAATAATAATAGTAAATAATTAACATTATTAATCGTTGAAAGAAAGCTGGTTAAAAAAAATAATTTTATAAATAAAAATAATATTATAAAACAAATATTAAAAAAAAAAATTAAAATAGAGATTTAGAATCAGTACAATGAAATAATAATCAACAATAAATAAATAATTCTATAAAGAAAGAACTCTAAAAAAATAATAGTAGTTAATAGTAGTTAACATTATTTAATATTAAGGAGGTGTTTCGAATAGTAATGAACTACAACAACAAAACTTCATTTTTATATTATTTACATTAATTGAATTTTTGCCAGCCAATACAGCTATTTCGAATATTGCCAAATACCCATCATTAATGGTCTTGGAAATAATTCTTGTATTTAATTATTCGTAAATAATTTTTTGAGATTGCAAGTACCACGCCGAGTTCCCTGGAGATTCCATGTTAGCGCTGCGTACGAGATATCGTTATAAGACTTACGCGAGTATGGCCTATTCACCCGTATTTTCGCTTTTGAATTTCAACATTAATAGACGTTTGGTTAGTTTGTCTCCAGAGTTCTTTATTTGATATTATTCTTGGCAACCGTATCTTCATTATGTTTCGCAAGCAGCGGTTGATGAAAGTTTGTAGTGTCACATATATATACATATATATGTATGTATTCGCTATGAAATTAAATAAAAGAAATAATTCCAAGACCACCACTGATGCTGAATATATGGCAATACTCGAAACAGCTCTATGGTCAGCCTAAAATTTAATTAAATAAAATTAAATAAAAAAATTTTTTGTTGTTGTAGTTTACTACTTTCCGAAACCTCTCTATAAAGTGATTTAATAAATTTAATTGGTTTAAATAAGTTAATTTAATAAATTTTAATTAAATAATATAATTAATTTTAATTTAAGCTAATAATAAATTTTTTTCCGCTCAATCTTTCCGGGATTGTTTGTCGTCTGCTTCAGTGAATGTAAATTAAAACTAATAAGAGAAATATTAGTGAATATAATTAAAATCATAAAAAACTTTTATGAAAGTTGAAAAGCTTCATATATACATTTTGTAACAATTAACTTTTTACTCTTGATTTTATATTTTTTTTTGTTTTTTTTTTTTTCAATTTTGCTAACTAATTTTTATATGATAATATTTTACAGACTGTTGCATTAAAAATGAATTTGGATACGCGCACCCCTGCATCACTTTGGAAGGACAAGACAGTGGTTGAAGTCAATATAGCCGTATTGCATTCATATCAGAGCCGTAACGTTACCATAGTGGACCATCATACGGCAAGTGAAAGTTTCATGAAACATTTCGAGAATGAATCCAAATTGCGGTAAATTACTTAATTATTTATAATTAATTCCAATAATAAGTTGTACCAACTTCCATTCAATTGCATGCGCATTTTAATTAATTTAATGAGCTTCAACTTTTAATTGGTTGAAGTGTTTAATTTCCAATTATTTTGGACTCTTAATTGGTAGCATTCACATGGACCAACAGTGCGTATGAGTAACTTTTTCATTGGCTTTAATTGCGGTTATAGCCTGTACCATAAATTTATGTTGTACTCTCCATTTTTTATTTATTTTTTTATTTATATTCTTTTATTTTTTTACTTTTTTATTTTTATTTTTTAATTTTTTTATTTTTTTTTATATTTTTTTATTTTTTATTTTTTGTTAGTATGGACAGTATTTTTAAAGTGAAGGCATTGAGTGTAAACACCTGGTTATGTGCTTACCCATGAATTATATACACGGTATAAGGTGGTATTTATTATAGTGTGGAAGTAATTTATATTGAGATATATGTGTTTTATTTCACTTTCCGCTGTTAAATAGATATATCTACATATATTGATGGTTGGCGTTTTTTTTTTTTTCCTCTCATGCATGAGGGGAACTCACTCACTTTTTGGGCACAATTACAATTTATTTGTGTGTGTTTTACTGTAAACACAATATTTTTTATACGAAGGTTATAAAAGTGTAAAATAAATTTATGATTTCAATTTCATGTTCCCAGTCACTTATTTCTTCCTTTTGTAGTCGCTCAAATGGGTTGGGTTTTCCGCATGCATTACACATTACACATGCATAAATAGCACAACACGCACTCCGTGTTATTTTGTTATGCGATATTTTATGTTCGAAATGTTTATTGATAAATGTAAAAAGTTTCTTCTTCACATTAAATTGGATTTCAAAGCGTTTTTACATGATTTCATGTATCTCATCTTATTTTGAGTTATTTTATTGTATTTCTTTTATTTCGGTTTTATCTACAACACAGCACATAAGAATTTTCAAGAGACCTGCGAATCCTTTACATTTAAGTTAAGTGCATCCTGCATACGCGGCGGCACTCTTATATTTATTTATTTTATTTTACATTATTTTATTTTATTTTATTTTATTGTATTATATTTTATTTATTATTTACATTTGTTTTTATTTCAATTGAACTCTAAAGGTGTGCATTAGATACATTTTATGATTTTGTTTTTGTTTTTGTTTTCCTTTTGCTTGAATGAATCCTTTTACACTTTTGGAGCAATAAAGTTTCCTTTTTGCGTAACAAATTTCACTCTGTTTTGGTATTCAAAGCTCGTAAATATGCTCCATAATGCAACTGATTACACCTGTCAGAATCGACATTCTCGTTTCTGTTATTTTTTTAAATGTTAATATTTACATCGGCAAATAAGTATTTTAAATTAATTTCAGCTTTGATTGTGTATTTCGAATTGATTTAAATGAAAATGAAATTAAAATGAAAATACTTGAATGTGTCACTAGCAAATAAACTAGGCAAACAAAGCAAATGTTATAAGTAATAAAATAAATTAATTGAAATTATATATGAACATAATTAAATTAAATAAATTAAAGCAATTTTGAATAAACAACCACTCTCAGCTCTAATAAGACTGATACCATGAGAATTCTTAGCACAACGAGAACTATGAGTGAGTAATGCTATTTGAAAAATAGTTATTAAGACATCTGCTAGCTATCATTAGGTAAAAATTTTTAACGTATGTCTCTAATCGGTATGTCTTTATGAATCAGAAACCTGGCTTGCTAACTTTGAAATCGTAAGAAGATTGCAATCATTTAACAATTGATACCTGCGTAACATATTAGGCATATGGTAGCCTAGAACAATTTCAAATGAAGAGTTATGGAGTTACAACGCACCAAACAAACGTAAACAGCGAGTTAAGAAGATAGAAATATAGTTAAATTGAACACATAGTGCATAAGCCTTATGAAGATATCACGCATGCTGCACTTACTTGGAATCCCAGCGGACTAGACGCAAAGATTGAGCACCTGAAAGCAAGGCCTGAAAAAAGACAGCGCATTCAGTTGAGAGCTGAAAAAGAATAATAGAAGAATTGATAAAGAAAGAACAGTTAAATTTGAAGTTTTCTAAAGAAATAGTAGAAGTAACTAAGAATTGCTTACGAAGTAAACCCTTTCATTTTACTCACTTGAGTAGTTAATGCTTAATTTTACTTATATACATTTTTTAGGATTCACAAGTCAAGTATGGCTTTGGATCCGTTGGGTTATGAACACTGACTAAGACCTTCAAATTTGGCAAGTTATGAATTCAATCATTGGTACGAGTATTTGCAGTGTCATAAAATTATTTATAAATATTTAAATTATATTATATATAATATTTAATTTCATTAAATTTAATTTAAAATAATTTTTATAACAACTTATTCCAAAAAGCCTATTATGCTAGGTATATAGCAATACCCGAAAGCTCTATAATCGAACAAAAATTCAATTAATTAAAAATAATAAAATTATGTTTTTGAAATTCACTACTCTTCGAAACTTTTTTATTTAAGTAAGTAAACTAAAAATGAAAATAATTATAAAATAAATTTTTTGACTTTAAAAAAAATATATCCAACAAAGTTTACTTTAAAAGTTTGCCTGAATTTGCTACAATTTTTGAACCTCTACCATTTTGAGATAGAAAAAATGTTGTTGATATGTTTGAGATATCCTTTAATCTGAATGTTTCGTAATTGTCTAGCACTGTGATGCCTTTCAGAGCAATTTCCTTTCAAATACTGTTCAATTACTGTCAATTCAATACGCATCCTTTATGTTAAACTAATATTATCTTTCGTTACTTTCAATTATCGTTTGCATACGTATACCTTGCAGTGCCTTCGCGCGCCCATCTACAATTCCAATGTTTTCTCAAAGTTTCTTTTATAATCCCATTCCATACCATTTCATCCCATCCCATCCCATCCCATCCATCCTACCATTGTGAAGTTGCTTACCTATATGCCGCAATCAAGGCACTAATGTATCTTTTTTTTTGTATTTTTATTTTTAGCAATGGTTGCCCTGCTGACTGGATTTGGATTGTTCCGCCCTTGTCGGGTTCGATTACCCCCGTTTTCCATCAAGAGATGTCGCTATATTATCTAAAGCCATCATTTGAATACCAAGATCCGGCCTGGCGCACACACATCTGGAAGAAGGAAAGTGGCGACGGCAAAAATAAGAAGCCAAGACGTAAATTTAATTTTAAACAAATCGCAAGGTAAGTGACTCACTTCCTTTTTGCAGGATTCTCTGGTTTTTTTTGTATTTTTTTTGTTCGTGTTTTTATTTTGCTTTGACTGCGACGATTAGAAAAATCGAATAAACGCAGGGAAGCTTCGCTATTTATTTTTGTGTAGTTGTGTGTTAATCTGTGTGTAATGCCGTGTAATTGTGCAGAATATCAATGTGTCTTCGCGTGTTTGTGTAGAAGTCGTCGGTTGTTATTTTGTTTGGTTTGTTGAATTGCGCTCTTTGACAAGTTGTTGTGCGCTTGTATGCGTGCGGCTTGGCGGTATTACAAAGGATTATCCTTTAAGTGGATTATAAGGGTACATAAATGTTGCTTGTGTACTTACACGGGATTGCTTATTGTACGGTAATTTGGGCTAGGCATTTACGTATACGTATCGCTTTGTTGTTCCAAATAATTCAAATTAATGTCACAAATTGGGATATGAATTTCTGAAGTGCAAATTTGGTTTGGAAATAACGTAACTACGTGGTTAATAATGGACCACACATCATAAAAACCCATGGAATCACAATGAGAAATGAAAATTGATATCAGTGTAGCATATCAGTATTTCAGAATAACAAGAGACTTCATAAACAGGATGCTTTTTCTGTAATCTTACATTGTAAAAAATTTTACGAGGATAATACGAAATGTAGAAAAAGGTAGTTAAGCATAAAAATGTGTAGCAACAATTGTACTAATTTTATTGCACGAATTAAACTGTATTCTTTCGGAACATATTATGAGTATTATTATGGAATATATAGTATATTCTCATTTCAATTACACTAAAGAAGTCAGAACATAATTTCTTATCCTCTTTATTCAAATATATATAATTCACTTAAGAGAGGTAAGGATTATATGCACACAAATGCTAACCCTGCCTTACAGAAAAAGGTCCAGTGGTGACAAATCGACACATCTTGGTGGATGGGTAAACAATTCATATCACTAAAATCATCAGACTAAGCAATAACTGACCTCAGATCTGTATACCTCCCCGAGAAACCTGTAACCATTCTGAGTTTTAATAACGCGATGTTAGTAAGTCTGTCAGTTTCCGCAAATAATTTCAGGACTCTATTTTATATGTATTTTTTGATGGGATCAATCTTCAGGTATCTGAGGATGTCATTCGTCCTAATGTACCATGATACTTTGATAAGTCTTCTCAGAGCCTGACTTTGTGCAATTTCTAACTGTCGAATAATAGTGTTTGAAGCTTTCTTGTTTTTGTTCCTCCTGGAAAATAGTAGGTGGAGACCCATTGAGAACTTGTGTGGAGGGCTATAACTCTACGGTTTCATTTCATCTTACTGATTTTAGTTTCATTAAAAGAGGAGTTAACATATCCATAATCTATATTCATGATATAAAGAGAGAAATCGATTAAAACATCTTGTAGTCCATGTTTATATTGCATCTTACTGGTGTTAGCTCCATTGCAATGGCTCTTGTGATCTCGCATATTGCATCTTTGTGGAGGGCTCTTAGTCTACGTTTATATTTCATCTTCATGATATATATACGTGATAGGTATCCACGATATGAAGAAAGGGATCGATGAATGCAGCATGCCGTCTCGAAACGGATACTGCATTTGTGTACGTTTATGTACCATCTAACTGATTTTAGCTCCTTTGCAAGAGGTGTTTATATATGATATATATCAATGATATAAAGAGAGGGATCGATGAATGCTGTTGATGGTCTCGAAAAGGATACTACATTTATATAAAGAGCGGTTAGTCCATGCTTATATTCCATCTTACTGATTTTAACTTCATTGCAAGAGAAGATAAGATGTTCATGATATGAAGAAAGAGATCGATGAATTTTTCTTATTGTCTCGAGGAGGATACTACATTTGTGTGGAGAGTTGTTAATCAATCCCTGTTAGTTAGGGATTGATTAATCGATTAACGCATCTTGTGGTCTCGAAGAGGATACTATATTTCTGTGGACAGCTGTTAGTCCACATTTTATATTCTGTCATGATGGGAAGAAAGAGATCGATTTGTTTCTCATATATAGTCACTTACGTTAGCTCTGTTGTAATATTGCAACAGATTCAGTTGTTCTGTAAATTTCACCTTTTATCGTATTTGTTTAAAGTGAAAAAGAAAACATTTAGCAATCGTATAGTCAGGCACTGCTCAATGAGGTATATGAACTTCTGTATTGGAAACTTAAATGAAATAAATATTAAAATAATTTTAATGTATCAGTTTGTTTTTTAAGTAAACAGAAAACTTAATTAAAATAATAATTGAAATTTTCATAATGATAATAAAAATTACAAAAATTTAAAGAACTTTTTTTTTTGTTGTTATTATTTTATTTGCTGTTAATAATTAATTCAATAACAATTTTGTTTGATTCTTCATATTTACTCAGAGTGAAGCTTTAATTTTCCGTGGTAATTAAATCGCTACTGCATAATTTTGAATGTTTTTATTTATTTATTTATTTTCCTGATGCTGTGTTGATGTGCAATAAAAAATTAACGGATACATCAAACAGTTAACATATCTGAGTAGATTAACTGGAATGCATTGTAATTAAATAATTAAACACAACAAACGCATTTAACCATTTAAAAAGCAATTAAATTTGATTGTTCCGCACGTTGTTTAAAACAATTGAATTAAAAACTTCACACACACACACAGATTTTGTTTTTTCGCGTGGTTGTGTGTGTGTTTTTTTGCCTTTACTTAATGAACAAAACAACGACGTTGGCAACTCAGCTGCGAGGACTAAATTAAATCCATCAACTTAATCAATGTTAACAATGTTATTACTGTCAGTGGCAATCGTCGGTAACAGCGGCGTCAACAGAGGCAGTGCTACCGTTAACAGAGGTAGCAGTGCTGCCGCTAACAGTGGCAGTAATAAACACAACAGATTAATGGCGTTGACATAAAACATTACAGTACAAATCAAAAGTGTACGTGAGTTTGGTTTTGCGGGTGGTTTTCTGCTTTGTGATGCAGAATGTGCACACTTTTCCATAGAAGAAGAAAATGTTTTACGAAATAATTAAAATGAAATTATTATTATTGTGTGTGTTGCTATATCACATGTGTGATATATGTGAGAATATATGCTAAAGCATAAATGAGTACACATAGAAATGCCCGTACTGCCATTGCGGAACTTTAAAACTCACGTAAACGGTGCAGTTTTTAAATGGCTTAGCGGCAATCTGATATAAGCTTTTGCCTGCATCAGTCAATGTCAAACATTCAACGGCTTACAAAATTAACAACGAAAACAATACAACAACAACAACAGCAACAACAAAAACAACGACGACGACAACGCTTGCAGCAGCCACAGCAACAAGCAGACACTTTTCAAAATGAGAATAAAGAAAATTTTATTAAACTTAAACTGCCAAGAGCAGACAGCACCAAAAACAATACTACCACCAGCACCAGCACCAACAACAACAACAACAACCACAACAACAATCACAACAACAACAACCACAAAACATAACAATAACAAGAATTAATATTTACTAAATAAATTCAAAAAAAAAAATCCATTGCTTTGTGTTGGCACTTCATTTGACTGCATTATTATTTACAATCTAATAGTTTCACTACTCCACACCCCTTTGTACTTCCGCAACAAACAAAAAAACCAAATTTTGTCCTTAACCAATTTTATATTTATAGCTTATAGTTTTTTTTATTAAATCCCATATATGAAAATTAATTTTTTTTTCTTTAATACTTTTTGGCACTTTTGTTAAGTGTCATGGAGTGCTTTATTGCTCCACTGAATGTGGGCGTAATTAATTTTGTGGATATTTATTATTTCATGTGTTTTTTGAATGAGAAATTTTGTTGAAAACATTGTGAATCTGATCATTTATCATAATGGTTCATACTACAACTCTGTTAGTTTAAAGCAATTTTTCAATTTATCAATAGTTTTTTTTATTAATTTATTTAAAGGATTTTATTTTTAGTCGTGCCTGCGAGCACGATTTGCAATATAGGCTGAAGTATTTATTAACTGTTATATATAAATAATACGAGTTTCACCGTCAATATTTGAAAAGAAATAATTTCATTTTAATTTAAAATAATCATTATTACTGCGGTTTTTTATACTGACACTTTATGCAATATAAGCACAAAAAGTATACAGAAATTGTACAGTACTTATCAAAAATTTATTTCTATATTTTCTTGATTTAATTTTAAATACCATAGGCTTATAAATTATAACGTGTGTAAAAAATTCATTGAATTTCAGTTATTATTCAGAGTTATTTAAGTTACGAGTATTCACATCACTTATAACTTTTTATTAACTGCGATCCTGAAAGTATGCAATATGAGTTTAAATAAAAATCAATTTTAATGCTCTTCCAGATTAATAAATCTGTGTTAACTTTCTCAATCGAGATTAACTTTTAGTGCAATTTTAATTTTTGATTGGTAAATCCCGAGCGATACACTCGAAATAAATTTTTTTTATCACTCTAGATATTTTGCCAGGGTAGTAAGATTCCACTAAAATTCACAGCGCTTTTATATCATTTGACAGATAAAATGTAATTTGATTTAGCTTATATATTTATGAAAAGTATATATGTCTACTAACAGTACTACTAGAAAAATGTTAGCTTACTCGTAAAACGTTCGATTGAGCAACAAAATTTGACAGATCAAGAGTAAATCTACATTTAATTAAGAATAATCAAACGAAAACGCAATATATGGCGTTTTAAAATTAATCATGACAAAAGGGTTAAAAAGAGAAAATTTTAGATATAGAAGATGAAGGAACTATTTTTTAATAGAAACTATTAAAAACAGTAGTGAAGCAGAATACATTTTTTTCTATTTTTCATTAATTAAATTTTCAGCTGTTTCGAGTATTGCCAAATACTCTTCACCAGACCCTCTTCTGGATATGTTACTATATTCAAATGAATTTTTGGATAATTTATTAATGTACGAAAATCTCTTTATTTAAAATTAGTGTCTATTGAGAAATTATGTGCTTTCGTTAAAATGGACTTTAAAATCAAATTTTTTTATAATGGGAAAAAATGAATAAAAAGGAAATGCGTAGAGTGACATTAATATAACTCCTGTGTATTCAAATTCGAAATGAGGATCTCTACACAAAAAAGGAATATATGTCAACATTCAATAAAAAAAATTAAATTAAAATTAAAAATTTAATAAATTAAATTTGATTTTATTTAAATCATATATTAGAACACAAACAACAGGCAAGACCAACAGTGCGTATGAGTAACATTAATTCAATATCGGCAGTTTTATTGAATATAAGAGGTTGATTTAAAGATAGGCTAAAAGAAAACTGACTGAAAGAAGAAAAACTTCTTTGCAAAAAATTTTTGTGAAAAAATAAAATAGAATAATTTATAAATAATAATATCTATTATTATTTTATGAAATATATTTTATGTTATTTTAGATGAAATATATACGAATAAATTTCAAAAAACAAGAGTTTCGACTGCATTTAACCTCATTATTGCCGTTTTCTTTATATCTAAATTCTAACAAGCACATAAACCTGTTAGTTGGTATATTTATTTTTATTTATTAATTTAAGTTTTACGAATTGCTCAATGAGTTCTTGAACCAGTTGCCCTAAGACATGACTTGAAATCAAACAGTCGTATATATCTTACTTGATATTTATTGTATACTACTAATCACTGTGACTTACGGTGGAAAAATACAGAAATCAATGAATCGGAAATCATACCACAGTCATGCTTTTAACGATTATCAATTTTTTTTATAATCATAACAACAGATATATATTTTAGATAATAATAATGGCAATTATTATTAAGCCTACCATATATAACTTTCATTTATAGAATTCATTTAATTTCTAATATACATCACATTATCATATCATATTTTATGGACTGAAAAATGATATAAATTGATCAGTTTTCTTCTATATGTATAGATCCATATCATTTGCACTGTTTAAATTAAATTAAAATTCGCATATTTTTTAAAACTACTGACAATGAGTACTTGGCAATGCTCGAAAGAGTGTTGTGTGGTCAGCTAAATTTCAATAAATTTACTAAAATTTTTGTTGTTGTCTTTTCTTTGCTATTCGAATCCTTTTAACTTCTAAATAGTTTTTTTTTGTCATAAGACGCGGACGCGTTAAATTCGACAAAACAAACAAATATTAATTTGATTTGATTTTAATCTAGTGATGTTTAAATACTGGCTATAGACTATAGTCAAAACATTGGTGATAATATATAACGTAAAATATTAAAAATAAACATCTTCAGATACTCTAGTAATATATATATAGACTGTGATCGAAAATATGTTTTCAGAAGTCATAAAAGCCCGTTTAAAAAGTCATAAAATGAAACTATTATCAATTTTAAAATATCTCAAATTATATTTCGGTGAAAAACGGATCACTTTAATGTATCAAATAAGTTTTATATTAAAGTTTTTGTGAATGATGAACATTTAAATGTAGCTTAAAACAATTTACATGTACTTAATTATATTCATTTTAAATATGAAATGTTTTTGACATAAGTCATATGATAATATGACTGAATATGACAATGTTCAGTGTGTAAATATGGCTTTTTAAAATAGTTTACGGAAGGAGTGCCTACAATGTCAATAAACTACAATAGTCTATATGCAAACAAAGTGATTCTACATACAAATCAATCAGGTGGAGTTTTCAGTTCACAATTTAATCCCCAATTACACAAGTATTAACCTCAATTGCGTTTAAAGACGATTACGGTTTCACAAGTAGATTAAAGTTTTAATCTCGATGTTCGCTTTTATCAACTTTAAACCTCATACTGTAAACGAGGGAAGTTTAAGCAATAATTTTTGATTGAAATAAATAAATATGTATATATATACACACTTTTTACGCACTATTAATTCAGTGCTAATGCAGGGGAATATTACTGATTCAATGTGTAATAATTTAAATGAAATCCTATAGTAACATGCATCCCGCTCTACACAGGTTCGGACAAAAAGTTCATAATGTTGCCATGGCGTGCGTACTCACATAATTTCCATTAATGTTGGATTAATGGCCCTAATTCTATTGTTGTTTTTTATCTTAGATACTTCTTCACATATTTGCTTCCTTATTTAATAGGAGCTTGAGCATTCAGAAATAAATTGATTAATTGAGAATAGATTGAGAAAAATGTACAGAACTCGTCGTTTAATGAAAACATTTCAATTAATTCTCATGTGAATCACAATTTCATTACTTACGTTACTTTATTTAAGAAAAAAGATCTAACGCCACACACACTTCTTCACAAAAATTTTAAATATTCAATATTCCTTATATAGCATTTCTCTTAAACATCAGCACCTATGGTTATACGATTTGTGGTTTATAAGAAGCATGTGAGATTTCTATGTAATATTTATGAATACTTTAAAATGATAACTGTAAGAGAATGACCTATATTTGAGCAAATCGAAAGGATTTTGGCAAAAAATATCCTCATCACTTTCGCTTTAAATGATATTGTTTTAAGGAGAAATTAGTATAAAAAAAAATCAGTAGAACTAATCAATTTATCCCGAGCAAATTTATTTAAGATCAGGACCTCCTAGCACTGTAGATAGATCCTCCATTGTATGGAGGATGACGGAGAGGAATCACCAATACACCTTCTGTTGCAGTGTCATGCTTTCGCAAAACATAGACTCTCCTACTTAGAGTCGCACTTTTTCAAGTTATTAAAGAGCTAAATGCTATTTCCCTAGCATGTGTCAATGGCCTTGTGACCAGTACTAAATGGTTATAGTGACAGGTGTTAAATTCTTAAGAGTATCACATGGTTCAAGTGCATCTTCGAACGGTCCCAGTAACCTAACACAAACTAACCTAAGGAGCTTTTTTTATAAAATAAAAAGATCTGTATCTTGGAAAAAAATTTGTAATTTTTCTATAAGAGATATCGAAACATAGAGCTATAACAATAAGCATTGTAGACACATTTTTTAAACGGTCATATGAATGATAGAAACCTGAAATAATTAGAGATTTAGTTATGTGAACAGAAGCCACTTTAGCTTTAACTCAATCCGAGACATCCGAGAATTTGAAGGACGGGAAAGGACCCAAGACGTTTCGTGATCTACTTCGGCTATGCCTTCACGTCCCACAATATATATATATATATTTATTCTTAATAGTAGAAATGGCTCAGATTAGTGGTGAAATTTAACAAAATCTATAGTGAAAAAATCCTGGCATTTTGGGAATAGTAATCGTGCCGATATTACTTATCCGTATATTCTCTTTCATTGTTTAGTTTCTTCCAAATTGGAAAGTAATCTTTCGATATTCGATTTGTTAATGGATCTTTTGCAAAAAATTCAGAAAGAAAAATATTAAATGCTGAATATAAAAAATATATTTATATAAAGCAGCATATACCAAATTTATTTTGAGCTAATCTAGCAACTGCAATAACGTTAACTCAAAGAAATTTTCTCTTTATTAGCTTAAATGCCATTAGATGCTATCTGCACTTGTTGAGAATGGAGGAAATATTTTATTTATTATGCCGGCATATAAATAATTTTTCGAAATTATGCCGCCAGATCCAATCACAACAAAATATTTAATAAAATATTAGTAGCAAACCTTTTTGACATCATCAACGCATCATAAGACAAATAAACATCATAAAAATTTCCACATCGCATAAATGTGCACGAGTACTGGATGGAATAATTTTGACATGAATTTTTATTGGACCTGTTATCACAAGGCACTCAGAATGTGCCTCGGAACCATGAACCACAGCAGCTAGCGGCTACATTGATGACACCAACAAGGAACAGCTCGAATGTGTGCTGGGAATGTTTCCAGGTGCTGCCACTGCCGCTGCCGTGTTATGATGTATCGAGCGAAGGAAGAAAATTTGTACAAATTTTCCAACGTACGTCTGTACATTTTCTGTGCCCGAGCTTATGACATGAATACCAAAACATAATATTAAATACATATACGAATATGTATGTATTTGTATAGCAGCTTTAATGCTTTATAGACACTGTGTGCCGAGGCATATGTTAGACTTCCTTCCGCTCGATTTGTATGTCGAAGACGGGTCCTTTGCATGTCTATGCCATACTGTCTTTGCTTTCATATGAGTATGTCTGAAAGTGTATGAGTGTTTGATATATTTACAAAAATTATATTTTCCAGTTAACATAAAAAACTTAATAATATTAATAATTGAAATTATTTTAATTTTTTTTCTTTCTCTTGCTGCTTTTTCAGAGCTGTTAAATTTACATCGAAATTATTTGGACGTGCTTTGTCGAAACGCATCAAAGCCACCGTTCTTTATGCCACAGAGACGGGCAAGTCGGAGCAGTATGCGAAGCAACTGTGTGAACTCTTGGGGCATGCATTCAATGCACAGGTAAGTCTGGGGTGTGGAACTGAAGCGCTTTGTGCTTAACGCTGAGTGTTATAAATTCCTTATTTTGACTCTTAGAAGTGTGGCAGGTAAACAAATATGTTAGCACGAAATTTGATTGAATTTGTCAGCAAATGTAATCAGAGCAGAAACAGCTTGAAAGGAATGGGCAACACTGCGGCATGTATCCTTTAAAATACATAACCACTCAGTTATGTTGCTTAGCAAGATATTGTGAAATGTTGTTGACATATTTTGGCTTAAATCTGAAACAGTTTGATTGTCAGTATGTCAAATATCCTTTGCTTCATTGCAAAATTTTTTCTTTCTGAACTGTAATTTGAAAAATTATTAACACAATGATAAAATAGTATTCGGTTGCAATTTTAAACAGAAGTCAATAACAGTACATCCGAAATGAAAATAAAATATTGTGAAGTTCTCACTATCAAGCTCTTATATATGCAGGCGATATACTGATTATAAACACAGAAGAAAGACTTCAAGGCATATGGGTGTACATTCATCGTATGCATACATGGGTATTCATAAACAATCAGTTTTATATATACTAAACAATAGTATATATATGCCAAAACCTGAGCAACAATATGCTATAAAGTTCAAAGTGAGTCTTATTTCTTTATTGGATTTCTTTATAAAAGTCTCTCATACTCTCATACCTTTTTATTTAAGTATGAGAAACAGTCTTGAGAAGCAGTATTTTATTTCTACGTTTAAAGTACATTTAGAGGTGACGCTCTGTATTTAAAACCTTGGACAAGCCAAACAAATGTCGGTTTCTTTGAAGTAACTACAAAAATATTGATTTTAGGAGAATCACTTTAGATTTGGAGTTGCGCTATTGTGTACAAAACACACTCGAGCTCATATAAAATCCAGTTGTAATAGCATAGAATTAGAGTTAGTACATACCCAGACTTGAGGTCAGCGTACAAGCAACACAGAAAGGCACAATTCCCTCATTAGGTAAAAATGACTCTACTGGAGTTATGAATCTAGTACCACGGCGGTTAAAGCCAGCAGCTATAGCTCTCCTGATCATTGACGTTGGCTCCTTAAAAGAACCGTCGTTTTAGCTGTGGTTAAAACCTATATTTATTTACATTCTTTCGATGTGCAGTTGCATATTTCGACGGGGTGCTGTGACCCATACAAGAGTTGTTAGATAGGTCTTGCTCCTCACCGATGGAACATGCATGCCAAACACAGATACTGGCGGAATTCCACCGAGTTCCAGTAGAGCGTTCATAGGTGCAATATACCAATGCGTGCGTGAAAAATACCCTGGTGTAGAACTTTCACTGCAGGTAACCACATACAACACTGGACCTAAATTAAGTAGAAATTAATCAATCTGATAGTTCTATGCATTTGGGTCAGTATTCTGCTCTGGATAATAATTCTTTTTGACATATGTTACAAATATTTGAGCTAGCTATCAAATCTAAACTCCTGCTTGTCAAATTAATGGAGCCTTACACTTGGAGTCCAAAGAAATCATTTACGCATTATAAACTAATCAAGAATTTCGAATATTTTCTGAAACCATTGATGAAGAGTACTTGGCAATACTTGAAATAGCGTTGTATGTTTAGCCAAATATCAATAAATTGACTAAAATTTTTGTTGTTGTCTTTTCATTTCTATTCGAACCCTTCTAACTAGTTTTTTGAATATTATTTATTATAATATTTTGGCTATAATAAATAATTTATTTTAATTTTATTTTTCTTGGAAAGGCAACCTGACTTTAAAATAGATGAAAACTGTATACAGCAACGTTTGCCTTTAAAGAGTTTAGTAGGTTTTAAAATCTCTTTAAGACAAAAACTTTTTTTTTGGCTTTTAACATTTACTAATAATTTTCAACTCATTAAATTTTGTATCCTTTTGGGTTGCCTGGCAAATAGGTCGCCAGCTGCTTTTTACAATATTAATTTGCTTTAACCTTTAACCTTTTTTTCTTGGTTTTGTTTTTTTTTGTTTCTTGCCGCTCTTTAGCAAATTCCCAATTAAATTTGATTGTCGCTGCCATTGAAACAGAAATTAAGCGTAAATTAATCCTTAAACGAAACCTTTAAAAAAACACTATAAAATTCAAATACGTGCGAAGGTTGAGCAACAATGAAGGAATCAATTTAAGTTTCGGTCCTGTGACCTGAATCATTTTGACAAACGTTGAAATGCCAACATGAGTTTCATTCCTATCGACAAGCAAAGACTAAATTCCATATCCTCCACTCTCTAAGGCACTCACTAAGGATGACAACCAACAGCCAACAGGCAGCAGCCAGCAGCCAGCATCTAGCAGATGAATGGGCGGACATGTGCTCTAACATATGCCGTTTTGGTTTCTACATGAATTGCTACTTAAGCCACAGTATTCAGACGTGATTATAATTTAACTCAACGTAAGCAAGTAAAGTGCGAACGTTACACTGGAGCGTAGCAAGAAAACGGAAGAAAATTACTACTTAGTCGAGTCCTTCCACAATGTTGACAGCTAAAAACGATAAGCCAATGAAGCAAATTATTCTACTGTTCTACTGACTTAAACGCTGACTAAAAGGCAAATTTATTTGCCAGATATTTCAAATTAACTAATATGTTGTGTTAGCAACAATGCCACACTTGCTCAGAGTGTCCTTTTTCCCACACTTAACCAATTTTTCTTCACTTTTATTTATTTACTCTTGTTTTTTTGTTTTTTTTGTCTGTTGTCATAAGCTTATTTACAAGCAAAAGTAAGTAAACATCTACACATTAGGCGTAATTTATTTAGCCACAGCAACAAAAACCATATCTATTTTTAATGCCTAATATACTACACTCAAAGTATACTCAGCTTAACTGACCTAACATTTACTATTAGCCTTGTTAATGACTTACACTTAATATAATTACTTGTCTATATGTTAAAAGGTTTGCACTTGTCTGAGTTGTCGATCTGTCTGTCCGTATAGCAATTTATTAACTTGCCTAAATGCCTAACTGCCTAACTGCCCAACTGTCCAACTGCCCAACTGGTTCGATGTTAGCCATAAGTAATAATTTGTACTTATTTACTTATTTTTCTTCTTCTTTGTTGGGAAATTTCAGATCTACTGCATGTCGGATTACGATATATCATCCATTGAGCATGAAGCACTTTTGATTGTTGTTGCATCCACATTTGGTAATGGCGATCCGCCAGAGAATGGAGAGGTGAGCTACAATTAAATAATTATCACACATTTTTTATATACACTTTTAGTGATATCAAGTAATCGGTTTTCATTTACTTAGGCATTATACAAAAAATTTTGGTAAGTGTTTGATGATAACAATGGACGTCTAAATTTAGAATGAACACAAGTTCACACACAAGTCAGTTTACACAATAGACACTTTCGTTGTGGTATATTCAATTTATTTGCTAACAATGCGAGAAGGGTTAACCCGCCTACTATTTTAGAGAAAACCGATTACCGATTACTTTTAAGCGTTTACACTGCAAATATAAAACTACAGACACACAAATACATACGTTAAGCACCCAGGCAAATGCCGTACACTTTTTGCACAAAACCTTAGCAATCTTAAGCATAACGAATTACCTTCATTCATGATTTCCTTTTTTGTCTCTCAATGCTTACACGGTAATATAGCTATTCTCACAGGACTTGTATGCTATGAGACTACAGGAAAGTGGTGAGAGTGGGCAGGACTCAAGGTAAGTGCTCTCATTTTTTGTTATTTTTTAACAACAAATTCATAATAAAGCACTGTTTAAGAGTGGTATTATCTTTGGCATACAATATTACTTACTAAATTTTTATAATAAAAATAGTACGCTTTATTATGGTATTAAAGGGGCCTTTATGCTTCGAAAGAAAAACAGCGATACTTGCTGGTATAATGTTCAGAAAGAGTTAGTGCATAAGCACGAGAATGCTTCCTTCAATACGCACCAAAAGAAGTATATTGTCTCTAAATGGAGTATGATCCCTCCTTTTAGTGAAGACTTCATTGACACGCAAAGAATGACATTCCAACAGAGTTTTTGGAAGCATGTACGAAGTGATCATAAAGTTTTTTCATTTTCTATATGATTAAGAGGAAGAATTGTCTTTCTGAAGCAGAAGATAGTGCATAAGCACTATTAGAGTATGCTCTCTCTAATATACACTAAAAAGAGAATGTTCTCTGCAATGGTCATTATAAATGAATGTTCCCTCTTTTTAGTGAATATATAAGCCGCGAAAATACTGAAATTGCAAATGAGTTTTTAGAAACAAGTCCAAAGTGACCATCAAAAATTGATCTTCCTGAAGAAGAAGATAGTGCATTAGCAGTATTGATAATGCTTTTAGCAATATGCATTAAAAAGAGAATGTTCGTTCCAAACGTAGGCTTCATCCGCATAACGAACGAAATTCTAACGGAGATTTTAGAAGTATGTTCAAAGTGACCATCAAATATTTCCCTTTTCTACACAATCAAGAGAAAAGAATTATCTTCCTGAAGAAAAGAATAGTACATAAGCAGAACTGAAAGATGATCTATCCAATATTGACTAAAAGTTGGATTTGTCCTTATTTAAGCGAAGACGCGAACCGCGATAATAACGGAATTCTATCGAAATTTTTAGAACAGTGTTAACAATGGCCACCAACAATTTTCATTATCAATATGATTTAGCGAGAGAATCGGATCTCTGAAGACTGGCAGAATAATATCTTAATTAAAACAAAATTAGACTACCAAAATATAGTTTCAGATTAAAAATTACAAAGTCATCATTATTATTTTCTTACTATGGTTTTGTAGATAGGTGCAAATGTTAGATTAGCAAAAGTCACATCAGTCTTTGCGCAGCTCTGAAATAAATCAAAACTCTGATATTTTCAGGACGAGAAGACAGAAAATATTTAGATCGAATATATAATTATATACGTCGGTTCAGAAAATACTGCATTTCGATTGTCTAATTTGTTTTCTGCTATATAGTGTGGAGTAGGAACAGTATTCTAAATATTGTAACCGTTTCGCAGTCTTGAGTATATCCCTGCAGTTTTAACCCCTGCTTCTACCAGCTACATCCGAAAGTTGATTTCTACGACAAGCAAATAAGAAATGGGCTCATACTTCCTCAACAGATAGATTAATTGCTACATGACCCCCTTACTCTAATTGTGGAACCTTCGAATTGGTACTTAAAAGTAAATCGGAAGTATCTATAACTCACATTTCCTCAGCAGACTATAAGGTCCCATTAATCCAATTGTAGAACCTTCGACTTTGTAATCAGAATTAAATCGGAAGTATTTGCATTCACATTTTCTCAGTAGCCAGTTCAAAATCTTTATGGCTTGTTTACTCAAATTGTAGAACCACCTACCTGTTACTCAGAAGTAAAGCAAAAATATGTTAAGCAGATATCTGTTCTAATGAAGCGATAGTCCTATGAACTATAGCACCGCATAAAGCCAAGCTCGGCCGTCCCTGCAGTATCTCCTGCATGTCTACTGAACATGTCTACCGAAGTTTGTAGAAAAGACACCAAAAGAAACCTGTTGTGTTGTGTCTAGGGTTGTCTAGAACCAAATTTAAGATAATGGGTGTCCCATCACCATTTTGCTGCACACTATTACCAGAAATGTACGGGATGTTTTTAGCTAATTGAGGATAGTTCATTCCACCCACCACTTCACCTAACCTAACTTAAGCTAGTTTAAGACACGGAGGGTAATTGCGTCACCGCTAATCACAAGTCATTCCTTGTGTGTATTATTAATCTTATAAGACAATTCTTTCTAGTTCTACTGTCTTATTGCAGACTATAGCGAATTGGGGTGTTGTTTGTAGGGCAAAGAAAATCAATCCTGTGTTTAACGCTTTATTTAATAAAAATGTCAGATAAAATGGACAACTTTTTCAAATTTTTTTTTTTTAGGTATTTCATTTTACAACATTACACAAGTCTATATTGTATTGTAGACATAATCTTGTGTCTTAATATGAAACACATATTACACTGCAAAAAAAAAAAAATATAAAAATAAACAAACCAAGACACACAGCTTAGTTGTTTAATATGCGTTCGTATGTTAAATTTGAGGTCGATACAAAGTCAATAAAAATTGTTAAACTAAGCCGTCTCATTCGTCAAACGTTGGAAGATAAAAGGCTATTGGTCATGTGCAGCTGAGGTCTTGGGGTGCATAAATTTAATGTAAATCAATTTTAATTTCTTTTTATCTTTTTATTACACCCACATTACATACTCCCAAGCACTCTTAAGGTAACATGATACCCCGACATCACAACATCTAACGGTGGGAGTAAATTGGCTTTTGTTATGGAAATTAAGAATTCTACCTCTGTTCGTCTCCTTCAATTGAAACCATCCTCGCAACAGAGTACTTAGTCAAATTAACGTTTCTGTTTGTGCCGAAAAATTTGTTTTTTTATTTGGTAAAAATTTTAGCTTCATTTGTAAAAATCAAGAAAATATTTAAAATTTTAAAAATTATTTGATATAACATTCGAGAATATGCAGATTACCAGCAATCTAAACAATACAAGAGACACTTGTGGCAGCAAATACCAGAGCGTCCCTCAGAGCCTTGCATAATTAAGGAAATCTAAATATTTTTGAAGGCTCACTTTCAAGGACGACGGGAAAATCAGTTTCAAAACTGTTGGAATTTTAATGTAAATATGACGAGCTGGCGAGCAGATAAATTTCACAATTTTTACGAATGTCAAGTAGAGCAGCGTTGTTTAAACTTTCTTAAATTTTCGCCCACATAGAGAACACATAGAGAATTTATGGAAATAATTTCTGCATATCTGTGGCATGTCGCGAATAATTAGTGTGACTACACAGACATTACTGATACGTGCTACTGCCAAGGTGCCACATGTTTCAACAAAGGGTACGAGAGAAAAGGAAAAAGACTTGAATCAGTTCTGGTGATGGAAACTAAAGCTTGAAATAAAGCCTGTAAAGGGCCGTTCCGTTATAACAAAAGGAATAAGGATAAATGAACAAGACTTGAATCGGTTCTGGTGATGGAAAGTAAAGCTTGAAAGAAAGCCTCTCAAGGTGCCACACGTTTTAACAAAGGGAATAAGAGAAAAGGATTAAGACTTGAATCAGTTCTGGTGATGGAAAGTAAAGCTTGAAAGAAAGCCTGTAAAGGGCCGTTCCGTTATAACAAAGGGAATAAGGACAAATGAACAAGACTTGAATCAGTTCTGATAAAGGAAAGTAAAGCTTGAAAGAAAGCCTCTCAAGGTGCCACACGTTTTAACAAAGAGAATAAGGGAAAAATAACAAGGCTTGAATCAGTTCTGGTGATGGAAGGTAAAGCTTGAAAGAAACCCTGTCAAGAAGCCACACGTGTTAACAAGGGAATAAGGGACAAAGAACAAGACTTTAATCAGTTCTGGTAATAAAAACTAAAGCTTGAGCTTATTAATAAGCCTTTTATTATAATGTTGAAACTATTTAAGCCAGTGCATTCGAGCACTTTTACTCTTTATTAACTGCGAAGTAACTTCAAAACCCATCTTTACGCCTTGACTGAATTATTGTTTATTATTTCATCAGACTAAGCAATAATTGATCTCAGATTTGCATACCTCCTCGAGGGGCTTGTAACCATTCGATAACGCGGTGTTGGTATATTCTGATCGAATCAATCTTGGGGTCCCTGAGGATGTCATTCGTCCTAATGTACCATGGTACCTTAAAAAGTCTAAGCCTTTTAACAAATTACTTTTGGTTTTAAGTTCGTAACTTTTAAAGCTCAACGACTTCTTAGCATATGCATCTTACATTATTTTACTGTGGAAATCAATCTACTAAACTCAGTACTAAACAAGTCTGGATTTATTTATTGTAAATTTATTGCATTCATGAGCACTTGAATTAACAATTTATGATTTTTTTTTTTATGTTATAAAATAAATTTTTTATATAATTTTGATGTAATCACTACAATAAACAGCAAATAACGCAAAGAGTGTTTACTTCAATATCACAATATTTCCTTTCCGAAAATTCCACTTTAACAGCAACACATATCAATATTTACACAACAATAATAATACACTTTCCAAGCACAAGAAAGGGGAAGAGCAGTTAGAGCAAGGATAAGCAGGATATGTCAGATACTCACTTTGCACGCCTACAATTTCCTGCAATAATCGTAATCGTAATAATAATAATAATTTTGTTATTTCGATATTTTCATATCATTTTTGTGGAAATTTTTTATTGTACTGAAGTTTCCTCGAACGAGGAAAATTTTGTAAGGATTCCTTTTTTGACAACAGCAGAAATTACAACAAACGGCAATATTTTTGTGAGTCATAAATAAGCAAAATATCGCCTACAACAACAACGAAGATACATTTATGTGCTTAGATAGATTTAATATTTTTGATATATAAAATATATTTATATTCAAATTTCTTATTGTGCCGTGGATTCGCGTGGGAAACTCAAAGTCAAATATTAAATAAAATTCAAATGAAAATTATGCGCGCCTAAAATTATGTGAGAAAATTCTTTGCGACATGACAGAAGCTAACAAAAGGCGTTTCAAGTAACAAAACATTTACGGAGGAGTAGGAGGAGGAGGAGGAGAACATGATTAGGTACTCATATAAACTACTTTAATTTCACATTCAATTTCTCTTATTTTCATATCAATAAGAGCG